AATACAGTCAAATTTCAATTATTATACATTATATATGTATATAGATTATTGCTATTTTGAAATAAGTTCTAAAGTTTTTTCTTAAAATAGAACAGTAACTAAAGAAGTAAAGCAAATAATTATATTTTCTAGTTACGACATTTGTACTCGGATGTTGCTTGACGTAGGTTGCTAAGCCTTTAAAAAATTGCACGTGGAGTATATTAAACAAAATATCTTTTTTTTAGGTTTTATATATACATTTGAATAACTAAAAAATCATAAAGAACTACATTAATACCACAGAATTCCACTATAATTTATCAAGCTTAGTAACTAAGCTATATTTTAGTCTGAAAAATGTGGAATTTCAAGCAGACTAAAGACACACCATACATCATTAAAATATTGGTTGAAAACAAAGAAGTGGTGCCAAGTCTGTTAAAATGGCTGAGAAAGCCACTAGGGGGACTTTCTGAGCTTTCGATTGGTTATTCATGTCATATATAGAGGTAAGTGTATGTAATAGAGCGTTTCCAAAAATTGAAAGAGGTGGGTGGGGTGCCACTGTTTGATTTATTACATGAGCAATGCCTTTGCAAATTGAAAAGATGAGAGGCTCTTATTTTATATTCTAGCCTGTTAATATTGGGAATAAGAGTTTCTAATTTGTTCGAAACTACAGACTTAGTATTTTGACTTCACAAACATGTAATTTGAACCAGTGCTGCCTTCAACATACCATGTGACACACAGAAATCAATGTTTGTGTTTTTTTAATATTTGCTTTTAAATTAAGAAATTGAGTAATGTATAGGTCTAAAATTTGAATTATAATCGAAAGTTTAATACCAAATGCGAGTCAACAAACATGATTAGCAGTTTTGGCAGAAGTGTTGTAATCAGTAAAGTGATTGGCTTAAGAATATTGTTTACTGTAACCCTAAACTGATTTAAAATATGGGTAGGTAGGTAAATTTATTATTTTTGTTTGGTTGGCAAAAAATGAAAATACCACTAGTTCCATTATCACCCAAAACATGTTGTATAAACCATGAATACAATTCCTATCAACATTTATTCTATAAAGAGAATTATAGAAATTTCAAAGTTCTTTTGCAACGCGATAGTCAATATCGACCCAAATCAACAATGTTGACTTGATAAAAAAAATTTTCAAGTCAACAAATTTTGTTAAATAGGTTGGTATATCAGCAGAAACTGGCAAGAGTAAAAATTTCTCGTATTATAATATAAAAAAATCTGTCAGTCAGGTTGAAGCAGAGAAATATTTTTAAGCCTGGCCCTAGGAGGAATCCCAAAATTTTAAAGTAGACAAATTTTGTTAAATAGATTAGTATATCAGCAGAAATTGGTGAAAGTAAAAATTTCTGTTATCATAATGTCAAAAAATCTTTTGGGCAGATTACAACAAAGAGGAATATTTTCAAGACTGGTTCTAGGGGGAATCCGAAATTTTAGTTGAGTGTGTGAAATAAACTCAACTTGTATTGGCAGCTTGAATAGTTGCAATGGCTTTTTGTTTTTAAGTTAGACTCATGGCATATGAGTTTCAATATAATAAGAATAGTTCTAAACCCAGTTTTTCCCAAACTCTGGTTCACAGATCAGCACTGATCTGTGGGATTTCACAAAACTTGACAGAATATTCATTTGTAAATCATATAATTTTTGTTGTAATTGTGTTCCTTGACAGTTTATGGAGGAAGGGAGCTGATAACTGGTATGTAAAAGGTTAAGAAATGCTGCTCTAACTTTATTAGTGTTTTACAAAAATATGAAGCTAAAATTTTATATGAATACCTAAGGTTGATAAGAATATGGCACTTATAATGTTAGACGATTATATGTATGTATGTGTAAACAGTGCATGGATTATAGGGTTTTTATCACTTTGTATCAACTTATTGAACCCACATGTTCAATATATATATATATAGTTGAGACATCGTGAAAGCTCACTAGTTCTACTTTTTTTTTGGTAAACTCCACGTTAATCCAATTTAATCCTATATCTTTCAATAAAATAAAAATGTGGTTTTGACATAATGATGAACTTGTGCATGAAATCATGATAGGAATTGCCGTCAGATCGATTTATTTGATGAAGCAAAACTTTCTGATTGTCAGACCATGAAAATGTTTGTAATAATTACCTAATTAATTTTTAAACTTGTGACTTGGTTGCCAGTCCAGTAGTCTGTATGCTTTTCAAGTAATTCATATTTGGAGGTATGAATTTGATGAATGTTGTACTATTGTTAACATACTTTCATTTCTAGTTGGCCATTTGAGAAAAAAGACTAGAGAATATGACCAGGGAAATAAATTTAGGTTTGTACCCAAACTAAAAGGGGTGGACTCATGTGGTTATCAAAATTGGAGTTTTGGGTATTGTGACTTCTATATATCCTAGGCTAGGTCTGTTCTAATTACTGTGTGAAATGTGCACATATGTAACATCCAAATCTGTATTTAATAATCAAAATTTACCAAAATACTAACTTCTTTTGTCTTTCATATCTTGAAATATCCCACCGGTAATATTTCAGTATAGTTGGTATAACCAAAAATCATAATAATTAGAAATTTTAATTAGTTGATTTATTTCATGACATTCATCAAGTCAGCAATAATTGTTAATTATTTTATGTGATACTAATTGATTAATATCTAGTTGATAAGCAAGTTGGTGGTCTTGCAAACATTCAGTGACTAAGTTAATTTCACTCGGCAAATATTTAATCTTGACAAGTGTTTCAGGGGTGTAAAAGTTTTTGATGTATTAGTACAGAAATAAACCAACCCAAACTGATATTCTACAAGTCCAACTTTTTCTTCACTTTAATGACTGAATTATTACAAATTCAAAATTATTTCTTATTAGTTATCCCAAAATATAATTTTGTTAAGTAAAGCTTTTATATTACAGAATACATAAACAATATTTTAACTCTGTTTAACTTAATTAGGTTAAATAGTAAAAACTGTTTTCCAAATGTTGAGCAACAAGATTTGGCCACCTTTGGATTAGATTTTTGGAATTACTGGAAATTGTAGTAATCTGAAAATTAATTAATTATTTTCATATGAAACTAATCATTTAAGCTAAACAACCTTGAATTAATCCAAAATATTGTGAAATCACAGGAAAAAATGTAAGCTTGACATTATACAAAAAATGATATTCATACAAGGAAGTTTTCAACCTTCTCATACAACTACTACAAGCAATAAGATAGTTTCAATTGGTATTGATAGTGTATTTTACAGTCCAGTAAATATCTATAATCTCTCAAGAACATCGTAAAATTAAAAACCACAAATATCTTAATTATCAGGGATCACCTCCCACACAATTCTTTAAGTTTATGAACAATTTCTATCTATAATATCATTAGAATTCTTGTCATTACCTTATGCAAAAATGTTACAGAATGCGTTTCCAATTGTAAGTGCTTTGAGATTTGTACAGAGCTGTTTAGAATTTATATCCAAAATAAGTGTTATAACACCCTTCAAATAATATATATTTTTTAACTTGGATTATAAACGTTACTATTTCTGGAGCTTTTGAGTATTTCAGAATAACAAACCTCGTGTGAAGCAACTAATAAATACACATACCGACTATTATATTTTAAGCCCATATTTCAGGCGTTCAGACATATGGTCCAGATAGGCCGTGTGGCCCGTATTGCACATGGAAATAATACAGGAAAGTTGTGTGTTATAGTGGATGTTATAGATCAAAACAGGGTGAGTTAAACTTTCAGAATTGGCAAAGTGGTTTTAAAGCTTGATTTTAAATCTTCTGTTAAACATTAAAATTTAGGTCATCGTTAATAGCTGAAGAAAAAGTTGCTATTGAAATAAAAACGCCATTAAATTTATTGAAAATGTAATTCACATTATAATAGGTGTAACAGTAAGATATTTATTGCTGCAAGTTTATTGTTTTGTATAAGGTATAAGAAATTAATTTTTACAAATTTTATATTCTACTTTGTGCTGAAGTTGTAATTTTTCATAATGTATTGAAAAAACTAACTTTTTCAAACGTACATTTTAGTACAGTTAATGTATACAATTCTATTAAGATAAACCAATCTTGTAATTTTTTTTCTGAATGATGATGTCGTATGTAAACTATATGTAAACTTTCAGTGCTAACTTCAACTGCATCTCAGCAACCAAACACCTACTTATCTATCAGGTTAAAATCAAACATTTGTAACATACAATTTGCAGAATTACATCAATTTGGACCTCCTTCATGTTTGAATTTTTATTGGAAATCGAAATGCTTTGCCAATCTTTTCTGTGATGTTTGATTATATTTCAAACAAAAAAAGCAAACCTTCTTTTGATGAGAAATTCACTTAAAATTCCCATATGTCAAGTAATATTTCAGGCACCATGGCAACTTAAAACTCGGGATTGGGCAAGCCAGATAAGTTATAGACACATTATGACATTAAACTATTCAACACAAATAAAAAGTACTGAATATTAATGACACTAAGAAAAACATTCCAGATTGCATTATTCTCTTGGGCTTACTACCATCATTGGTCATGCTTACTGTTTTTACAATAGTTTCTGTTGTAACAAGCTGTTAAGGATGGTGAAGTCAATCTCAGAGAAGGACTTTCAACAGAACTTTACTGTATGCGGTAGTTGGTTTACGAGGCCACTTTTAAGCACATCAAACATATAAAGTTCATTAGACGTGTGAATTTACTTGTAACTAAACATGACTGCTGTGATTCTACTTTCGTTGGCCACACTTGTTAAAACAGTAATTGATTCAAGTTACAGCTAGACGTACGTGAATGTTTGACTTAAGAAAATGCAGCAACATTACATCCATCGGTGTTTTGTTAGTGTACCTAGCTTCATTATTGTCTTTTTGTGTGGAAGGTGTACCTTCCTTATCCATAGCCTTCGTTGTGTGGTTTTGGAGCACATTTCTTGCTATTCTAAGTTATTTGTATCCACAAAAAACAATAGTCTTTCTATTTCAAAATGTTATTTCTATCTTAACAGTCTTGTTTTTAAATATCTTTTCTCAGATAGGACTGTGACAGTTTGTTACTGCTGAGTCTACCTGGGCAACATTTATTTGTATAATTCATTGAAATTTGCTATGAACTAAGTATGTGATTGCTAAACTTGTTACTTGTAGTATAAAGAATTATTTACATAGAACTGTGCTACTACATAATCTAGTAAAAAAAAAAGCAGTTAACCCTCTGTAATTTTCATCTTACCTTTCCTGTTGAGAGAATTTGAAGTACCTAAATTTTTCAAGATGAGTATTGACATGATTGTTTTAAACCTAATGTAACAGGTGTTGTGTACTTTTGTAGGAGCAGCATGATGAACCTAAGTGCTTGATAGGAATTGCCGTCAGATCGATATGTGTTGACGGACTAGTTCTGACTGCTCTGAAGAATCATTAGAATAAGTCTTGTTCTTTAAACTGATCTTAAAAGTTTTAAAGAATTTAAATGTGCATTAAAAACTTATTTTATGACATATGTTAAGAGGAAGTCGTCGTAATACGCACTTTCCTTGAAGTCCATCGTATTAATTGCTTTTAATGTATATTTATGTTATTGGATAAACTTGTGAGTATATAAAGTTTTATACTAAATTAGGTGAAATAATGAAGAAAAAAGTTATTTGTTGTGATAATTATACCAGTTTTCTATTTTATAATTTAATTTAAAATTGCAGGCATTAGTTGATGGCCCTTGTACATCGGTGGAACGTCAAGCCATGCCGTTTAAGCGTCTTCGCTTAACTAAGTTCCGAATAAAAATTCCACACAGTACTTCAACTAAAGTTGTACGCAAAGCATGGGATAAAGAATCTATCACTGATAAATGGAAGGAAAGTAAAGCAGCAACGAAGATAGAAGCTAGAAAATTGGTAGGAACTTTTTTAACAATACTATACAACATTTGAAGAAAAATCTTAACTTTGTAAAATGTTTTATTGTTCTTTATTTTCATTTAGAATTTAGTCGATAAGGGAGTAAACTTAAGATTTTATCATATAAAAACTAGAATATTAAAAAAATGTAATATTTTCTATGCTGCTTCCAGAAAAACTAGCTAATATCACTGTGTTGACTGTTGTTAGATATTGAGCTATTGATAATTAAAGAGCCATTTGTGAATTTTGTTTATTTTATATACTGCGTGAACTTGTTTGATTATTATAGTAAAAAATCTACATTAATAAGTTAAGTATTTAACTCTGTTCAGTAGATTTTATCTTGGGGCCTGTTACAACTTAATTGTAACTGTTCTTGATTATTGTAAAATAATGATAATAATGCTTTCTTGACCTGATGATATAATTAATAACAACAAGGGAAAAATGATCTTGGCTAATTGAATAAGTAGAGTTGTTTAAACATTTGTTTAACAACAAGTAAAACGCGTAAATACATCAGTTTGATTTTCGATACCTCACTAGTATAAAGGCTTGGTTTGGTCTGATATGCAATGGTGGTAGTGTCCAGGGTCACTGATAAGGAGTGGAATTCTCCAAAACTAGTCTGGTTCACAAACACACGCCCCAATGAAAGAATAGACCATTCCGAGCTTGGAAATGTTAATAGTAGGTCAGGGAATTCTGCACTCTTTGTACAATTAAATTAAAATGTTCGTGGTAAATAAAATTACTCTTTCCTTCTTTCTTTCACACTTTGTTTTAAACTTCAGAGTTAAAATTAATTTTATAAAAATTTCATTTATTTATGTTATATTTTCACACAAAAATGTAAAGGCAGGGGGGATGATTTCAACATGCTCTGAGCATAAGGTGGAACTTGTAGCCACCTAGGAGGAAAGCTGAAAGAATTCTGAATAAAAAAGGAGCCAGTTTGAACTTTGCAGCTTGACACTGATTGAAAACCTAGGTAGTCTGGGTGTTATGTAAATTATACAAAAAATGATTTATGAAAACTACATAATTGAGAATGTTAATCTGAACCTCTAAACAATTTCATTCAATAGTTTTTTGTGTTTTTTTTTGGTGGTGCGGTAAAAAAAACTAATAGATGCAACAAAATGAACACACTTGGACATTTTGGGGTTAGTTATTAACGATTAGTATTATGAATATAAAAATATTTCATGTATAATAGAAGAGGCTGCACCTTGTTTATTGATAGATGGAACCAGGGATAGATTGGGGGGGGGCTACTTGTGATGTAACTCCCAGATCTGGGCTCAAAAAAGGCATGTTATGAGGTTTAGTTGTTTTTGTTTTTTTTCCATATTCTTTAGTTACGATCATAATAGGTCTTGTAGAAAAATTTAGCCCCAGTCCTGTCTAACCCTTAATCTGCCCTGGGTGGAGCTCTGTCCATGGTCCTGAAATGAATAAGGTTGAGCATGATTACTGGGTGTGGATTCTAGGTGTGTATGTGTAACCATATGGGTACGAACGTGCTGACCATAGTGCCACAGTTTGCAACTACTGCAATGCAATGTTGTAAAGAGAAGTTAACCTTCTTATTATTAATTTTTACTTCCTATTTTAGCAGAGACTTAAGTACTTAAATTTTTGAGATATCTGAATGATGTTGACACAAATTTTAAAAAACTTGGTGGGACTACTAAACAGAAGTCGGACAAAATAATTATTTGTGACAATTAACAGTTTTGTTCTTCATCAGGAGCAGCATGATGAACCTAAGTGCTTGATAGGAATTGCCGTCAGATCGATATGTGTTGACGGACTAGTTCTGACTGCTCTGAAGAATCTATAGTGTTTTTATCTTTGGGCTTGCGAAGAAAAGGGTTTTCAGAGTGTAAATGTGTGGTATTTTAAAGTCGTGGCTTTAATGAGCTTGTATTACAGGAATCCCTTGTAAGTGTTCCTTCCTGTATGTGTGTAAGAGGGGAGAAAGGTAATGGTAAACTCCCCATATTTATGCCAGAATGATTAGTGTTTATATGGAACCGGCAAACAAAAACATTATGAACATATTTTTACATAACTTCTATTGGCTGTCACTAGATGGCGCTAGAGCAAAGTTTTTTTTTGTTTTTTTTTTTAAAGATTTTGTAAACTGTGTTATAAGGATTTTGGCCTACTCCATACATTCCATGTTACTGAGATTTTTACACTTTTATTTCAAGCTGGGGGTATCTTTCAATTTTTTTAACTTAGTTTGATTATTTAATGAAAATCATTGCAAACACAAATATTTATTACTTTAGCATCCCAACTTTCCAAATGAAGTAAACATTATTTTTGATATTTTCTTATGTGAATGTTAATTGATCTCAGGCTAGATTTAATAAAGTTTTATATAAAATTCTTCACGTGGCAAGATTTTTTTTTCTCACTAGCCTTGAATACTAAGCCTAATCAGGTAAAGTGTTTTGTTTTCTTCCCATTTACACTAAAGTTCTTGTATTTTGGAAGTCCTCTCTTTTATATATATAAACATTTTCAACATATTGTGTTTTACCATTAAATATTGCAGTGTTTGTGTTTAGTGTGCAGTAGTGGTTTTATAATAGTCCACTATATTAAGACTATTACATATTCATGATTGATAACATTTGCTGGTCTTGATTGGCAAATAATATATTCAATTTCACGTGTATTTTTTGCAGTAAAATAAATTCTGTGTGTGGTATAAGTTACCCAACAATAGTTTTAAACTCATGAAGTTTGAAGAAAATATCTTATTCATCAACACTGATACAATTCAGTTTATTATCACTGTTTGCCGTGATTGGTTATGAGAAAAAAAAAGACTTCTAATCCCGCATTTCAAGACGTTTAATTTAGTTTGAAGTGTAGGTGTTAAAATATTTTCTTGCTGCCATGATACAGAAAGATTTGTTCTAAGAAAACAGTAAACACGTGGGCTTTGATACGGTTAAAGTAGGTTCTCAGAATGAAGCAAGTGAAACATATTGCACTGGTACTGTTATTTTTCAATGTAACTGGAAAAGTGAAATAGAATAACTAAAATGTGTTGATATTTTAGTCAAAGTAACTGTTTTACTTACCCAACAGAGAGCCAAGATGAACGACTTTGATCGTTTTAAGTTGTATAAAGCAAAGCAAGCAGTAAGTAAACATTTTTTTTTCCTAATAGTTGTATGTGCAATTGTTGTGTGTGTGTGTGTGGGGGGGGGTGATCTTTTAAAGAAAATATCTTAATGGTAACTGTTTAAAATTTAAAATAACAGCTTAAATGATGAGCCTTTTTTATCTTGGTAGTTAGTTTTAATTTTTATCCCCCCTTTTTTTTTCTGAATTTAAATTACTTTGACTGCTGAATTGCTGTATAAGGTACAGTCCACATCAGGCAGTTGAATGTGAGTGTGCCGTATCCAGTGTACAGCTCTCACAAATTCCGTGAGGATTTAAAGCAGCCACAGTAAAAGAGTTAATAAAAAAAAAGGACTTGCTCAGTTTTTTGGTACTAGTTCTTTCACTGCATACCAAATTCAACTGAGGTATTTTATAATTAAAAAAAAATAATTTGGATTTAAGTCAAAAATCAGTTAAGATTTTACTGGTATTAAGGTTATTATCAACAAAAGTGTAAGCTGTATTCCTGGCTATGAAAACCATACAAAGTTAACAATTTAATTATTGCTTCAGTAATAATTAAAGTTGTTGTTAGAATTAGTGATGTGAAAAACTGAATAAATATTTCAATGTTTGCCTTTTGGAAAAAATCTTGTTGAATATCTGACCAAAGTTTCAGAGGAGAATGCATCTAAATAACGAAAGTATTTAAAACTTGAAATTGTTTATAATACACAAGATATACTGATGGTAAACAGCAAGTCCGTTTCAATACCATTATATTAGTGACGAGGGGTATATCTGGTTAAAGACTATAACATGAGGCCTTATTTATTTGTTGGTTTACAGGTCATCTGATGTGAAAATGAAAAGCAGAATACTAAGTGTAAAACAATTTTTCAAACTTCACAATAGAGATCCATCAAGGTATCTTTTGAATCAGTATTCTTAATATATTTGTTAAAAATAAAATGTTTAAACCAAGAAGCTACATAATAACGTGTAAGAATACTGGTTGCCAAGCAGCAGTTCTTTTGCAATTCTGCCGAAACTGAGACATGGATGATTCTGGCATGGCCCATTGATTTAACTTGATGGTCGCTTTTAATGTTGAAATGTGTGGTCTTTGAAAAAGTGTGTATGCGAGGAATGCAGTGAAACTGTAAAATACCTTATATACAATCCTGTTCTAGATGCTGAGCAGGTGAGATAAGTAATCTAAACATACTGTAAACCAACAAATTAAATAACTAAGGCCTAATGATTCAGCTGATGTAACATTTCTGTAATTTTGAATTGCATATACTTAATAATGGTACCATATAATCTATTATAGGTAAAAAAGAAACATTTTGACAGTTACAATTAAATGTGTAAATTTAAGTTATTGTAATGCAGGTGCAAGATATAGTTGATTGTGGTGTTTTAATAAATTTCTTTTGGTTTCTAACTCGGGTGCCTAAATCCATTAATCCCATCTACTTTCCACAATTGTTGGGATCTGATTAGACGTATTGTTAGTGCAGATGTTTCTAGAAAGTGAAAAGCTATTTCTTACTTTGTAACTTGCTATAAACCATCAATAAGATGTGTAACTTATTCCGGTTTTGTTATTTTATTCACACCAGATAGATCAGTTCCTTTTTCTTTTAATATTTTGTGATTGTTTATAACTTCATCAAATCAGAATTTCAATTATTGCCTAGCTTTGTCATCTCGTATATATTTTTACAAAAACAACTGATACTTTATTAGTTAAATAGGACCAATGTAATTTTAAGTAATAGTAATTTTGTAAAGATTTTCCATATTGCAAAAGTAAATTAAGATCATAATAAACATTTACTTGGGTAGATAATTTCTAATTGCTTCCCCTAACACCTATTCAGCACATATTATGGTTTGTTAATTACCAAGTGTGATTCACTATTTAAAAAAAAGCCTTGATTTTCTGAGTCTGTTTCTTTGGAAGTCATTCAATTACAGGAAGTATAGTGTAAGAAATTGTTGGTTTTTGTGTTAATGTTACAATGATTCTATCAAAACATGTCATTTGTAAGAGGAAATACAATCAAACTGAGGTAAACGTGGGATCTCGAATTGAATCAGTAATTACTAGTTTATTTTTGAATTATTGTTAAAAAACTTTGGCAGAAGGAAGATTTAGAGAAATAACAATTATCTTCAAGTTTAAAAGGACTGATTATAAAAATCTGGCCCTTAAAAAATGTGATTAAGTAACAGATCTATTGAAATCGTGCATGAATGTAATAGTTATTTTCTCCTAATAAACCTGTAG